TTGATCAGGAAAGCCTTCAAGATTCAAATACTTGCTTGATCTGTATTTCATTCGTTATTCTCGGGATGGATAACTTGTTTTTGGATAATCACGGCAAGCAATAGTTTTTTTGTCTCACACAACGATATTGTTTAGCTTCATTTGATTATCAAGTCAAATATAGTGTAGTATGGAGAGGAATAAATAATCACTATCATCATTGTTGATATACGAAGGCGTAGAGGGGCCACCGCAATTATTTTTTATAATTCCGACTTAGTATCTCGGAATTTCGACTTAGTATCTCGGAATTATGTATTTCCGACTTACTATGTCGGAATTCCGACTTAGTATCTCGGAATTATATAATTCCGACTTATTATGTCGGAATTTCGACTTAGTATCTCGGAATTATGTAATTCCGACTTATTATGTCGGAATTCCGACTTAGTATCTCGGAATTATATAATTCCGACTTATTATGTTGAAATTCCGACTTATTATCTCGGAATTAGGACATTGCGGTGTTGTGACCATACCCAGACAGCACAGAATATTCTATGAATATTCTGATAACGTTCAGATATACCTATTTCAGAATATACTGATAGAATATTGTCGGAATGTTCAAAGAAAATTCTCATCCTGCTACGAATATTCTATGAACGTTCAATTTGACATATTCTTTTTGAATATTCTATGAACATTCAATTTGACATATTCTCAACATTTTCTTCTTGAATATTCTGGAAATATACAGAAATGATCGTATCAAAATATGATATTGATGTTATTCTTGTATCGATATTAATAATGTTTCTCCTGACCCAATGACACCTATTATTCTCTACCCTCAATACTAAATCTAAATCTCTAAATCTAATGGTTCGTAGCGCACTGAAAAACGTTTCAAGTTTGTAAATATTCGATGACAAGAAAGTTGGTTCGTTTATCCACCGGAGCAAGTTTTTTTCACTTTCCTCTCTTTTCCTATGATATGCTAGGAATATTCTTAGAATATTCGAGAAAGTCCAGTCCGAATGTTCATAGAACGTCCCTGAAATATTCGTATCATATTGTGAGAATACTGTGAGAATATTCAAATATTCTCGGAGAATATTCGATGGATGACATTGTGCTATCTAGGATCCTTCGGGCACGGTGGTTAATTTAGGGAAGTAATGAATTCGTGCTTATTCGGGCTATCCTTAACTCTAGTCTATCCTTATAATCTTGGAAACAGAAACAGTTCCCTATAGCTACGGTTTTCTATGGAGAATGCAGCTGTTACCAGCGGCCGTCATTCGATTATGAATTATCTTTGAAGAGGATATGCGATGATAGTTGTCACTAAAACGTTTTTCTACAACGAAAATTGATCTTCCAAAAAGTGTCAGATCCAGGGTATAGTTTAGGGGGGGAAGGCGATGAATATAAAAAGTATAATATATACGAATATATTTTCAATTATCCAGAGGAATATGCCCAAAAATCAGCGAGTGCTGTTACCTCTGAATTATACGAGGTCGGATTTTGATATTTACCGGGTAGCAAGTATATCAAATTGCCGTTTATTGACAGAACATTCATTTATTATATATCACTTCTGGTTCAACCGGAAGTTACCCCAACTATAAATTCTCCCCTATATATCTCGACATTTTGATGAAAAATTCTCTAATGTGTGTAAAACGAATAAAACGATCCCCTGGATCCATATATTAAAAAATATGGGTACAGAGGATGGCCTATTTAAAAATCAAGTTGGGGTTGTTTCCGGTTGAACCGGGAGTAATAGGAAGAAAATTAAGTTGTCAATGAATAATCAATTTGATAAACTTGCTACCCACCAGATTTCAATATCCTATCTCGAATGATTCACAAGAAATATAGGACTGAATGTTTTTTGTGCACGACTATGTATATGAAATAACACAAGAGGTAACTATCGATATTTCGGCGAAGCTTAGATTGGATTATCACCCCCTCCACCACTCTCTGGATCACTGTGGATCACCACTGGCTAGAAACTAGAGAAATATCAATGACGCGGTCGCCTAACCACTTCAGGGCCGCTAGAGATGTTTTTCCAGAAAACCGTATAGTTTATTTAGAGCAATGAATGCTATACTATTCGTACAGTATAGCATTCTTTCATTGATTTCGAGCTCCTACCAGGGTTGTTTCTCGAATTGATTCCATCACGCTATAGATTATCATTAAATGTATTAGGATTATGGATTATTCACAATTAGCTATTCGGGAGTCGTCCTTACAGTATAGGTACATACATAGGTATGTAACACTTAACTATATGGTCACAACATCGCAAGGTCCTAATTCCGAGATAATAAGTCGGAATTCCGACATAATAAGTCGGAAATATATAATTCCGAGATACTAAGTCGGAATTCCGACATAATAAGTCGAAATTACATAATTCCGAGATACTAAGTCAGAATTCCGACATAATAAGTGGGAATTATATAATTCCGAGATACTAAGTCGAAATTCCGAGATACTAAGTCAGAATTATAAAAAATAATTGCGGTGGCCCCTCTACGCCTTCGTATTGATATGCTCACTAACCTAACATTTTCCACGTCTTGTTCCTATAGCTGGCACTGGCGCGGTATTTGCCATTAGAGCACCTATGGTCCATACACAGATATGTCACTCTGTGGTTGTATTTATATTGAAACTACAATTCGAACATCCTAGAAAACCTAACCTGCTGTTAAAGCAGGTAGAATATTCTCACCACATGGATTATTTGTCAATATTTGTTGCATTGCATACATATGGCACGGCATTGGTGGTTACTTCACATGTTTATTTGAGTTAATTGTTTCGGTTGCAGAAAAAATAGCATGTTTCATTCGGATCAAAAGTGACTTTGTTCGACTCGCAAATTTTGCTTCCGATTTTGACCTATGGTATGATACGATAATATTTTACTTACATGGAAGTGAAAAATGTTGCAATGTGTATAAAATAAGCAATAACGGAGCAAGCAAAGGCCATTGCTCCATGATCTGGAAAAACATGTGTCCTAAAATTCACCCCCTCCAAGCTACAGCCACTGTCAGTTAGATGAAGAAAATGGTAGATTCTTTTATCAGGATCAAAAGTGACACTTTGTTCGACAAACGAATTTTGCATTAGCGAGGCAAAGCGTCTAGCGAAGCCGACGAAAGCCGAAAAATCAACTAAAATATATGTGAAGTAACCACCAATGCGACTTACTTGACGTATTATCATAATACTGTTATTATACTAATATGAGTAAGAAGATGAAAGCTAGTCCTTAGACTACTTTACTTTGTTACAATTTGTGTTGACATGCATCATGTTTTCAGATACTACAGGCCAGAATAGGCACGAATTCAATACTATACACAAAACGTGGATGCAGTTCCATATGTATGCAATGCAACAAATAATCCGTGTAGTGAGAATATTCTACCTGCATTTTACCTGCATTCACAGATCAGGTTTATTCAATATTCAAGGATTTTCGAATTGTAATTCCGGTATAAATACAACCACATATCGAGTGACCAATTTGTGTATTCTATTGAATCGAAAAATGGATGAATTCATTTGTACCCGGTGTCAGTCCTAATAGCAAATACCGCGCCAGTGCCAGGTATATGAAAAAGAAGTAGAAAATGTAAGGATAATGAGCATACCAACAATAGTAATAGCGATTATTCACCCCTCTCCATATTCCAATGTGTTTGGCTCGGTAATCAAATGAAAATAAACAATATCGTTGTGTGAGACAAAAAAGTAATGCTGGCCGTGATTATTCAAAAACAAGGTATCCAATCAATCAGTTCCCGACAATAACGAATGAAATACAGATCGAGCAAGTATGTGAATCTTGAAGACTTTTATGATCGAAACAAAAATACTTAACCATAATATGGTGTATTTATATCTCCAACATGGGATAAAAATGCAAAATCTGCCGAAATCGGGAACAAATCAGGTACCTATGCTTCCTAACCCAAATAACCAACCATGTTGTTCATTCTTGATGACCTAGTACACCCTAGTACACCTTTTTTTAGTTCCTAGGAGCTGAATTTTAACTTTCATTGGCCTAAATGGGGCGCATTTTAGGACACATGTTCATATGAAGAAAAAGTCAAAACAATACGTCCTTAAAATATATACATATTACATACAATATTTCACCGAGTATGCCTTTTGGAGGGTATCATTATGTGAATATTTTGATGTTAGAAAACGATATACTGGGTGTAATCAAGTCTGGAAATATGAGGAATATTTGAGTCCAGTGACAGTAGTTGAAAGAAAAATATATGAGCTAGGTACATGGTGTTTTTCAATTGATTACTGGAGTGAATATACCAATATTATCCATGTAAACTGAATAGGAATTTATGCTCGTTCCTAGGTTCAGGAGAATACAACATGAATACATGTAACAGTAATGAATGAAACCTATCTTAGGCAAAGTGAATTCTTTGATTTTTTTATTTTGGTTGTTATTTTTACTATTTACGACTTTGAATTCTGGTCTCAGCTATCTTTCAACTTATAGGAAAAGTATGGAAACGGTCACTTATTTAGTTCTTGAGTGGAATCCACATTGTGATATCTTTGAGTGTCTCAGACAATTCTGGATCAGAATGCAACATTTTGAAAGGTTATAACGCCTTCTGAATTCTTTAAAGTCAATGTCAATATTGCATGAAATTAATCAACTTTCACTTATTGCTCATAAAACTTGTCAAAAATAACTGCGAAATATTATGCATCATTGCTATGGCACTTTTGGCAAAAGTATATGATTTATATACTTAGTTTGCAACAACTTATATACCCATTTCCCTCGTAAAATATATTCTACAAGTTCAACAAAGTCTTCAATTAGTATATTAGTCAATCAGTTCGAAATTCACACACAGCTCTATTTGTACCCCAATCAGCTGATGAAAAACGGCGAGTACGCCATGTTGTGACGTCAGCTGACACTGTTCTCTACTGACCTGAGCAAGCCTGAGGCGGCAGAGGGAAAATAAGCGTAGTGGACGACTTCCTCCTGGCCACAGCGCACCCCAAAGACTGCGGCTTGAACGACCTTAGCTGCTGCATGAAGTCCGAGGTCTCCATCAGAGACACGTCGGCGAAGTGGAGGTCGCAGAGGATCTGGTTCTTGAATCTCCTGGCGCGCTTCTGGCTGGGGCCGGTCAGGTTAAGGCCGCACGAGTTGCACCGCAGGCACTCCTCGTGGTAGTGGTTGTTTTCGTACAAAGGCGTGGGATCTGCGGAAAGAGAAGAGGTTGGGAGTCGATGGTTCATCTGGGGATGGTGATGAGAGTAATAAGCGCGTTGAAGCAGCCTAAGAAGCATGGTGGTGTAGAAGACGTACAGCATCTAGAATATATTGTCTAGTTTAAGATGGCATTTTTTATATAATACGAATCTCATAATGTTAATTCATTTCGAAACGTATGAGGTGCAATTAAAAATAGTTATTAGTAATTCAGATAGAGTAAATTGCATTCCAGACTCGTCAATTGTAATCCACAAAGCGTCATTTGTAATTCAGATGGTATCACTTTTAATACAGGTAATATCAACTGTGATTGAGAAACGACGAAAAACTCTTATGTATATCATCTGGAACCATGTGATATAGAACCCAAGTGAATCAAAATAGTGTGAAATCTAGTCCTACGTGAGAATACATCTTCGAGTTCCACACAAGTTCGAGGTTCACAATTTGTGTTTCTTGTACAGAGTACCAAGTTGAAAAAACAGGTGTTGGAGGTGATTGTGCTAGGGTTGCACATTATGCTGCAGCTTTCACATCTCCAGATGGCAATTGGTGGATAAATATGAAATATCACACGTTAATGTTAGTTGTCGGCGAAGTGTGAAGGTTAGTTTATTGCTGGGCGATTTTAGCTTAGGCGATGCTAGCGATGAAATCTGTTGACGTTATCATTGGTCAATTTGAACTGGTAAGCCACTATTAACTAATGATATAATTACATCTTTCATCGCTTGCATCGCCAAAGCCAAAATCGCCCAGCAATAAACCAAGTATTAGTCGCAGAGGATCTGATTCTTGAATCTCTTGGCGCGCTTCTGGCTGGGGCCGGTCAGGTTAAGGCCGCACGAGTTGCACCGCAGGCACTCCTCGTGGTAGTGGTTGTTTTCGTACAAAGGCGTGGGATCTGCGGAAAGAGAAGAGGTTGGGAGTCGATGGTTCATCTGGGGATGGTGATGAGAGTAAAAAGCGCGTTGAAGCAGCCTAAGAAGCATGGTGGTGTAGAAGACGTACGTTTCTTAACGTTTCTGATGAAATTGAATCCAAGCATCTAGAATATATTGTCGTAGTTTAAGATGGCATTTTTTATATAATACGAATCTCATAATGTTAATTCATTTCGAAACGTATGAGGTGCAATTAAAAATAGTTATTTGTGATTCAGAAAGAGTAAATTTAATTCCAGACTCGTCAAATGTAATCCAGAAAGCGTCATTTGTGATTCAGATAGTATCACTTTTAACCCAGGTAATATCAACTGTGATTGAGAAACGACGAAAAAATCTCATGTATATCATGTGGAACCATGTGATATAGAACCCAAGTGAATCAAAATAGTGTGAAATCTAGTCCTACGTGAGAATACATCTTCGAGTTCCACACAATTTCGAGGTTCACAATTTGTGTTTCTTGTACAGAGTACCAAGTTGAAAAAACAGGTGTTGGAGGTGATTGTGCAACCCTAGCACATTATGCTGCAGCTTTCACATATCCAGATGCCAATTGGTCGATAAATATGGAATATCACGTGAATGTTAGTTGTCGGCGAAGTGTTAAGTCGTAGAGGATCTGATTCTTGAATCTCTTGGCGCGTTTCTGGTTGGGGCCTGTCAGGTTGAGGCAGCACGAGTTGCACCGCAGGCACTCCTCGTGGTAGTGGTTGTTTTCGTATAAAGGTGTGGGATCTGTGGAGAGAGAAGAGGTTGGGAGTCGCTGGTTCATCTGGGGATGGTGATGAGAGTAATAAGCGCATTGAAGCAGCCTAAGAAGCATGGTGGTGTAGAAGACGTACGTTTACTAACGTTTTTGTTGAAAACGAAACGAAAAGATGGCAAATTTTTATACAATACAAATTTCATAATGTTAATTCATTACGGAAAGTATGAGGTTTAATTCAAAATAGTTATTTGTGATTCAAAAAGAGTAAATTGAATCCCAGATTCTTCAATTGTAATTCCTAAAGGGTCATTTGTAATTCAGATAGTATCATTTGTGATTCAGGCAATATCAACTGTGATTGAGAAACGACGAAAAACTCTTATGTATATTCCTAGGAACTTCATCTTTCAGATTTATACTTCCTTATGTGGAACCCAAGTGAATCAAACTAGTGTGAAATCTATTCCTACGTGAGAATACATCTTTGAGTTCCACACAAGTTCAAAGTTCACAATTTGTATTTCTTGTACAGAGTATCAACTGTTGGAGGTGATTGTGCTGGGGTTGCATGGTTCACCACCATTCATTATCCTGCAGATTTTACATGTCCAGATATGCCATTCAATTGGTCAATAAAATATGAAGTATCAAATTAATATTGGTTATTGGCAAAGTTTGTAGCATCAGAGAATCTTGTTCTTGATTCTCCTGGCACGCTTCTGGCTGGGGCCGGTCAGGTTAAGGCAGCACGAGTTGCACCGCAGGCACTCCTCGTGGTAGTGGTTGTTTTCGTACAAAGGCGTGGGATCTGCGGAAAGAGAAGAGGTTGGGAGTCGATGGTTCATCTGGGGATGGTGATGAGAGTAAAAAGCGCGTTGAAGCAGCCTAAGAAGCATGGTGGTGTAGAAGACGTACGTTTCTTAACGTTTCTGATGAAATTGAATCCAAGCATCTAGAATATATTGTCGTAGTTTAAGATGGCATTTTTTATATAATACGAATCTCATAATGTTAATTCATTTCGAAACGTATGAGGTGCAATTAAAAATAGTTATTTGTGATTCAGAAAGAGTAAATTTAATTCCAGACTCGTCAAATGTAATCCAGAAAGCGTCATTTGTGATTCAGATAGTATCACTTTTAACCCAGGTAATATCAACTGTGATTGAGAAACGACGAAAAAATCTCATGTATATCATGTGGAACCATGTGATATAGAACCCAAGTGAATCAAAATAGTGTGAAATCTAGTCCTACGTGAGAATACATCTTCGAGTTCCACACAATTTCGAGGTTCACAATTTGTGTTTCTTGTACAGAGTACCAAGTTGAAAAAACAGGTGTTGGAGGTGATTGTGCAACCCTAGCACATTATGCTGCAGCTTTCACATATCCAGATGCCAATTGGTCGATAAATATGGAATATCACGTGAATGTTAGTTGTCGGCGAAGTGTTAAGTCGTAGAGGATCTGATTCTTGAATCTCTTGGCGCGTTTCTGGTTGGGGCCTGTCAGGTTGAGGCAGCACGAGTTGCACCGCAGGCACTCCTCGTGGTAGTGGTTGTTTTCGTATAAAGGTGTGGGATCTGTGGAGAGAGAAGAGGTTGGGAGTCGCTGGTTCATCTGGGGATGGTGATGAGAGTAATAAGCGCATTGAAGCAGCCTAAGAAGCATGGTGGTGTAGAAGACGTACGTTTACTAACGTTTTTGTTGAAAACGAAACGAAAAGATGGCAAATTTTTATACAATACAAATTTCATAATGTTAATTCATTACGGAAAGTATGAGGTTTAATTCAAAATAGTTATTTGTGATTCAAAAAGAGTAAATTGAATCCCAGATTCTTCAATTGTAATTCCTAAAGGGTCATTTGTAATTCAGATAGTATCATTTGTGATTCAGGCAATATCAACTGTGATTGAGAAACGACGAAAAACTCTTATGTATATTCCTAGGAACTTCATCTTTCAGATTTATACTTCCTTATGTGGAACCCAAGTGAATCAAACTAGTGTGAAATCTATTCCTACGTGAGAATACCCCAGCAAACATTGAACTAGCGGGAGAAGTCCGGCCTAGTGCAGGCCAGTCTGGGAAAGTGACGATGCCGGGGTATTGGTAATGGGCCGATGATTTTCCTATGTCAAGTAACCATCAGTTGAAAATACGATGATGGCCTTGTGATGGTATAATGTCTGGAACTAATTGAATACTAACGAGATCTGGCCCTTTGCTGGCCAATTTCATGTTCGCTACTCGTCCCCCTGGTGGATGTTCTGGGAACGTCTACATCAACAATCAGCTGATCAATATTATCTGTGACTAAGATGGCTGACTCTCGTGAGTGGTGATCGCGTACTAGTTTGTTGTCGAATTAATGTGGTCTCCTCTTTCCCTGGTGGTTATTCATGATGGCAGGAGTATTCTCAATGGATAATTATAGATGACGGATTCTCCAATTATGATAATATTGAGTAAGTATCAATCTAAATACAAATAGTGTTCAGAATTTTATTATCAAATGCATGTGTTTGGTATTTCGTAACCTCATATACCTAATGATCATAATAATTGGAGTTGGCTTTACTTCTCCAAAAGCAACTATCATTTTTAACTCGTTTGTTGCTATCAAGAGCAATCTTAGGTTATGTGTACCTGTCTCTATATTGAAGAACTGAATAACAATTTGGTTTCAGCTACAGAAATACCTGTGCCAAGAAATTAATGAGAATTGAAAAGCTCCAAAAGCGTCATCAGACTATATTATCAAGTTATAAACTCATGCAAATCATAGGCCGCTAATATAGCAAATGATGCATTTTATATTTCAGAAGTACCTCACAACGAAGAATCAACTTTGAAGGAATGCTACCCAAAAAGATGTAGATACCACATACCAACCAGTAAGCAGTCACTCCGAGAAGTTTCATCGTTGAATAGAGAGGTTGAGAAGATATCATTGTGTCATTCATAAAATTGTTTTCTTGAAATCTGGTATGTCTGATTTAGGATGAGAGGGTTTCATTGTGAAATAAAGAGGTACTAGTACTTTCAGATCAATTGAACCCCTAAAACCCCTACCCCTCCCTACCTCGATAGTATATGTAACCAATGTCGTTAATTGGCCATTACAGTCCCATCATTTATGTATATGCTGGGCTTGCTATGGGAACCTCAATGTGTCGATTATGTTGTACTGGCCTTTTGCCGGGGAACTGAATATGATTGCTGGGTACCCTGCACTGGGACCAGCTGCCGGCCGCAGTGTACTGATATATAGAGTCCCGCATATGGGACCATTCACTGGGCCGCTGATGTCAGGTATGGGAA